TTTCTTTTATTTTATTTAATGGCATGTTCAAATTTCAGGAATACTGCATTTTTTAGAAAGATTTTCTTTCCTCTACACTTAAGGTATCCCATAAGCTAGCATCTTGGTGTTTGTCGAGGCATTTTTTTTTGCGAATTGGTCAGTATTTTGCTCAACCATGTCGATGGCGCTATGTCCGCGACCCAGGTACTCTGGATAAGCGTCTTCTAAGAGCTGTATCCAAGCCTGTCATACCAATGCCCAAAATTAGCCCCGTTGAAACTAGACTGCACTTAGAAGAACAAAAAAAGTTGAAGGTGAGTAACACTTTAGCCTTTGGCTCGATGTTTAAACTGATTTTGCCTATTCACTTTCTAATGATACGGCTATATTAAGTCGTTCTCTTTATCTAATCACATCAGCTAATGATGCATGATTTATAGTATTCTTGAATCCTGCATCCATCACAGTTTACTAAGTTTCTTTAAAGGCAAGTATATGCTAAAACATACCATCACCACCAAGGCAATTGTTATATCTAAATTGGACAGAGAAAATATTTGAACTTTATTTTGTTCCTTTTTCCAATTATACAGCTAAATCAAAAGAGAGCTTCATTTCATCCTTGCTACCTCATTATAAATCTAAATAACCCTGATGCTACATTCGTTGGCAATCTATCTACTTCTGTTCAGTTTATTTTTTATTACATTGCCAAATATTTTCTATAATGAGTAGGTATTCGAGACTACCAGTAAATCAGATATATTAGTTGTGTTCATCCTATTTCGTTTAAGGTGATGAAGGACTAGTGATTTATTTTTCCCACTATTATATTAATAGAGCTGACGTACCATTGAATTTCATATAGCGCTATTTTCCCAAAAGGTGTTCTCATCGAAGGTGGACTGCAGTTTCGAACTCGCATAGGTCTTATCAAGTCTCCAAACGGTAGTCGAAGCATAGCAGTGCAGCGTGTAAGTTTGACACTTTGACCACTATGCCACATTGCCACGAGTGCCCTTGGGTCACAGGGCAGATGTGAATTTTAAGGAATGTCAGACGTTATCCATATAACATTCTGTGTTGTGATTGTCGATGAAGCAAACTTACCCATTTACGAAAAATGTAATGTCAATTGATATAGAAAATAAAGATTGCTTGATCGACAGTCCCAACACAGAATGTGATGTGGAAAATGTTTGACATTCATTGAAATGCACATCTACTTTGTAATAAAAGCACTCGTGGCAATGTGGCGTAGTGGTTAACGTGTCGAGCATACACTCTGCAATGTCATGGGTCGACTACCGCTTGGATGCTGATAAGAACTATGCGTGGTCGAAACTTTAATCCATCCTGGATAAGAAAAACTTTTGTGAAATTCAATGGAAATGACAGCTCAACTCATATTCTTGTGGAAAAAATCAACTACCAATCCTTTATCACCTTAAATGAAGTAGGATATACATAACTCAAATATTTTCTAGCCACCACCGAGCATTACATGCTTTTTTGCATAAATCATTAATTATATTTTTATTGTAACCAGACCGGGGTAGTGGTTTTTTTGCGATCTGTCAACTTCATTTTTTGAGGGGATTTACACCAGAATCTTAGTTTTATTTATGTCGCATACAAAACTCTGTGGAAGTGTGGCCAGACGAATCTTAGAGCAAGATCAAGCTATCCTCATCCTGGCCGGGTTTAACACCAGAAGCATTTTGAACTCCATATTTTGGTCTAAATCCAGTTTATGCCCAAATTTGTGGTAAGAATTAATAAGTAATCGAATTTTTAAAAGCTAACTAGCCAAGCTTTTAGGACGTATTATCTCCTAGGAGTGGGGTGTTATCAAAACGTCACGATTTATAATATTAGTCCTATTGGCTCTTTTTTCTCGTGTTACCAATGCTGGCCGTATACCCAGATTACAAATAATTAAAGTTCCCCCGTCCATACAATTATAAGTTATTTATCAACCCTAACTTTCCTGGAGCTCGGCCTTGCTTCATTTGGCTTCAAGGACAAACTAATGCGCAGTAGTAGGTATGTTGAGCCTAATTCAGTTAACACCTCAAGAGCCACACTATGAGCAGCAAGCTTAGAGATATAATGGCACTTATGTCCGGCATCAAAATCGTACATTACCATTTAAAAGCTAGATTGATAGTATTTTTGCATGATAATCATCCTCGCTCGGTCGGTAATTTGACCTAGTCTCTTAGCATAGTCTATTGTTCCCTAAAAATATTATCGCCTGATCTAGCTCAATCGTTACTATATAATATTCGTAAGTGAGTAGAGTTTCGAGACTACCAGTAAATCAGTGTAATAAGATGTATTCACCGTATTTCGTCTAAGGTGATGAAGGACTGGTAGTAGAATTTTCCAACAATGATATGAGTCGAGCTGATGTTTCCATTGAATTTCACATAGCCTTGCTTTCCCAAAAGTTGTTCTCATCCTGGGTGGACTGCAGTTTGCCTCGCATTGGTCTTATCAACATCCTCAGCGGGATTTGAACCGCGACAGTACAGGACGGTAGCTTGACACGCTAACCACTCGGCTACACTGCCACGAGTAAGTGAGTAGGGTCTCGAGACTACCAGTAAATCAGTGTAATGAGATGTATTCACCCTATTTCGTCTAAGGTTATGAAGGACTGGTAGTAGAATTTTCCAACAATGATAAGAGTTGAGCTGACGTTTCCATTGAATTTCACATTGCTATAGCAAACATACGTTTGCTTCATCGGCACTCCCGCCAAAGAATATGATATAGCAGAGGCCTGACCGTCTTTGAAACTCACTTATGCCCTGTGACTCAAGGGTAC